CACACACACACACACACACACACACACACACACACACACACACACACAGTCATGCATGTATCTGTGCAGACACAACATTAAAACATTCAAAATAAAATTATTCTTCACAGGATAGTGTTAGTACATGTAATAATTAATTATCATAAAACTTACTGTGCAGCGTCCTTGAGGAATCTCATTTCCTCTGGAAATTTCAGCAGTTTCGGGTTTTTCTCTTCCGCCTCCTGAAAATAGGATAATATACAAAAATTGAATTACACTAAACGTTCCGGTACCCCATGAAAGCACAGGATGTCTAATAATAATACGTAAGCTCCCTTAGCCCTTTCTTTAGGTCCACTATAGATAAACCTGTACAGTCAAGATGGAAATATTTTGCCTTTTGCAAAGAAAAATAGAAAATCGGTCATCTCTCTCTCTCTCTCTCTCTCTCTCTCTCTCTCTCTCTCTCTCTCTCTCTCAAAACTCACCTGGGCCACGTAATGCATGAGGTTCATGCGAGGTTTATTCGCCCTCAGTTCCGTTAGTTTGAGAAGTGAGGACAGCTTGAAGCCAGCGGCGTTACCAGCGTAGTTGCCCTGGAAACGGTTAAACAACATCGGTCAGACAGATTGTCACAAAAGATACCATCAACAGAGTATAACCGAATTCTCATCCTCAATAACTTAGTAAGGATTTTCTCGAGGCGGGCTGCATCAAGAGAGCCACAATGAATCGAAGTCGACATAGCTTCATTTTGCGTGGAGAACTTAATCCCAGCACAATAAGACACTGACACTCAGTGAAATATCTTCGCCACTAGAGAATTGAACTTATGACTTTTGTGTGCTAGGGAAAAAGCTTCTCCTTTACACCACAGATGTGGGTGCACGATGCGGGTGCATGAAGTCGATGTAACGTGCAAACCGTGTAAATAAAGAAAAACACGTATATATATACATTGAACATCTTTTGTTAAGCTTTTACTACAATTAAACATGTATATTTAAGATGGGAACATTTTGCCTTTTACAGCGGAACATAGAAATGTGTACTTACAGAATTGAGGTAGTTGCCCGACACAAGGATCAGGAAGATCAGTTCCCGAAGGGACGAGTTCTCTTGTATATCTGTTGATATAAAACAGTAATTGATGTATGTAATACATAAAAATGAACACACACACA